GGGTTTAGGGTTTGGGGTGTCGGGCATTTAAGTTAAGTTGCTATAATCAAGAAACCCTTTGATCTTTCGATATATCCCCTTAATGATAACTTTGAACAGCAACCCAGAAAGGGGGTGTGGGACGTGCAGAGCTCAGGGTTAGGGCTTGGGGCCTCCGGGTGTAGGGCTTATAGAGCTTTAGGATTTTAGGGTTTAGGGCCCTAAACCCTAAACCCTAAACCGTTTTAGGGTTTAGGATTTTAGGGTTTAGTGCCCTAAACCCTAAACCCTAAACCGCTTTAGGGTTTAGGGTTTAGGGTTTAAGGGTTCAGGGCTTAGGGCTCACAGGTTTAGGGCTTCAGGCCCTGGACCTTAAAGGTGTTTTGGGTAAACTGGGGCTGTAGAGTTTAGGCCAGGGTTTAAAGGTTCAGGCTTACAGGGGCCCCACCTTCCTCATTAAGAGGAAATCGGGGGGCTACACTACCAGAAAACTCTCAACCCGAAACCCCTAAGCCAAACGTAATCCTCAACCCTAAACCCTAAACCCGACACTCTAGTCGATGGATCGGGGTTCAGGGCCCTAAACCCCGAAACCCTAAACCCCAAACCCTCGTTGAGGGTTCGGGGTTCAGGGGAGGGGCTGCTGGTCTATGAGTGCTTCTTAGGGGCTGATAAGGTTTAGGGTTTAGGGTTTAGGGTGTAGGGTTTAGGGTTTAGGGTTTAGGGTTTAGAGTACCCTAGCCCAAGAAAAGGTTAACCTTTCGAGTTATAGTAGGATCTTATAAGCCCCCAAAGGTTAAAGGCTACCTACTCAGCCCCTGAGGCTTAAGCTTTTGGTTAAACTACATTCGTTTAGGGCTTCGGGTTTAGGGCTTAGGTTTTCTCTCTTCTTCAGGAACCAGGCCAAGGAAAGTTCAAACTTTTTAAGATAGATCTAATTTATAGGGACAAAAAATTTAAAGTTCTCCCATTGGCTATCTAGGTTTTTGTTAAGTGCAATAGCCCCCTTCTCCTCCGCGGAGACTTGCCTCATGTGAGGCATACACTCAGGACGACAGAGACAGCTCCATCATCAACTCTCAGGTTAGGGTTTAGGGTTTAGGGTTTAGGGTTTAGGGTTTAGGGTTTAGGGTTTAGGGTTTAGGGTTCGTTTAGGTTTTATTCCGGAAGTAGTGGCTACTAGGCCACTAGACGGCTTACTAAATGCAAGACATCCATAAAGGTTTTTAAAGGTCTAGTAGGTTGTTTCAAGGTCCTTTTGGATGACCGCCAACGTCGAGCGCTCTCCCAACCCGTCACAGTAGGCTTGGGGTCTGGGATTCGGCTTTTGGGGTTTCGGATCTTTGTCCCTAGTGACTCTAGGCTTTGAGGCTAAGGCCTTCGGTTCTGGGGACTGTGGTTTAGGGTTTAGGGCTTGGGTTTAGGGTTTAGGGTTTAGGGTTTCGGGATTTTGGGAAGGGTGTGATGGAGCTGGGGGGTTGGGTTTAGGGTTTGAGAGTTACGGCTGCTTATCGGCATCAAGGCATGCCACATGGCGACTCGCTGGGGTCGAGCACGGGCTCCGGGCTGCGCATAATCATAATCGATCCCTAAACGCTAAACCCTAAACCCTAAACCCTAAACCCTAAACCCTAAACCCTAACCCTAGGCCCTAATCCCTGAATCCGCCACTCAACCCCAAAATTTGTTTGACTGGGTCCGTCCAGGAACTTTCCTAGCCAGGGCCATGATAAGGCCAGAGCAATAAACACGCAGCACAACTTTCTTCTTGGCCCTGCTTCTTAGGGGATACAACTGACATATCGCTTCAGGGATTGGGATTCTGTGCCCCAGCCCTGGACCATGCATCCAATCGTGCCATGTGCAGGACAGCAGCACTTGGAACTTGTTCTGAGGTGGGATGACGAACCTCTGGAGGCAGGAATCGTCCTGTGCAGGATCGCAGCTGCATCTACAACCCGAAGCCCAATCTAGTAGGATGCCTATTAAAGACCTATGGTATCAGGCTTCAAATCCTTCCCTCTAAGAAATACATCGTTGTGCCCTAAACCCTAAACCCTAAACCCAAACCCTACCTTCTTCCAGGCTCTTGAAGGACAAGGCTGCGCACGGTGCTAACGACTGCAGGAGTTGGGCAAGAAACTAGGGGCCCCAAAAAGCACATAAGCAAAAATTCGGATAGGGATATCCCATATAAACCCCCTTGCAATGAATCCCAATAAGGTAAGGATATCCCTATGAAATGCTTATGCTTATGTCGTTTTTGGGGTTCCTAAGAAACCCCAAAGCATAGTTGTCCAGCCCAGCAAGCCTTTAAGGAATGGTCTTGTTCCCCAAAACCGTTATCCATGAGCGGGTGCATTTGCCATGCAGAGTCTCACCCAATATCATTGTAAGAGTTGCAGCGGGACAAATCATGTATGACTATGCCAACGAATAACGTGCGCAGGTACTACGGCTCTAGACTGTGAATATGGTTTCTAGCAGCACTGCAGCCCTATGCTGCACATACCCATGCGATTGCTAGGATCAGGACTCAAGCCGAATGAAGCTTGCTGGAAGGTTCATGGGTTTAAGTGCCGATGTTGAAGTGGCTCTTGCAACAAAACCTAAACCCTAAACCACCATAGCTGGTTCTATCCAGTCTCGAGAACTGCCCAAGATCAGGCTGCATATTCCAGGACTTTGTGTGCAAGATTGAGGGGTATAGGACTTACCTGCGAAGGGTCTTATCTAAGAAACCTCATGTCAATCTTTAAGTAGCCCTAAGCAGCTAGTTAGGTTATTTGGAGGTTTGGGGTTTCAGGTGTAGTCAACTACGATTCACAGGATTTCTGGATTTGAAGGCCGAGAACCGTCTATGCTCCCAGAGACTCCAATACCCCTTAATTAAGGAATATACCTTAAATCATATTGGGGATCCTACTATAATTTAAAGTATATTCCTTAGTTAAGGGATATTAGAGTCTCTATGCTGTCTAAGGGCTTGAGGATGGAAGTTTCGGTAGTTTGGGGGCTTGCGGCCCTGGGAGATCCCCACCTGTACGAACTCGTTGATTCGCACCGATGCTTTGGTCGTGTGTCCCTGCCTGATCGGGTTTCCAGCTAGCGGGCAGCAGAACTCTACGAGTAGCCGAATAGCCCAACCCTAAACCCTAAACCCTAAACCGCTTATCCAAGCCTAACCTCGAACTGACTCAGTGTTCGATCTAGCCCGTGCACGACGGAAGGCCTGCCGAGGCCTAATGGATACTGCCCTTCCCTGTCAGTCCACTCTGGAGCTTACATCTGCCTAGACCAACTGCTGCAACACTGAGCCCTATAATACCTTAAAGACGAAATGACCCTTAAAAGTAGGGGCCATATGCCCTTATACTATGAATCCCTATATGGTATATGAGCCTTTAACCCTTTTAGGGTTCATTTCGTCCTTAAGGTACTCCATACAGCAAACCTAGAACTCCCGACGCCGAACGGTTTGAGGGTTTGGGGTTTAGGCCCCTGAACCCCAAACCCCATACCCAGAAGGGTCTAAGGTTAGGAATCGTAAGCTTTCAGGTTTAGGACCACAACCGCCGCATCACTCATAATAATAGTAATAGTTCTAGTAATAAGCATAATAAAAAATAAAAACGGTGGCAATCGTAACAATAGTGATACTATCAGAACAAGCGCTTCGGAGTAAACAGGCCGGGAAGGCGATTGATATGCGTCGCGACCCTCCCGCTTGAGAGCCTCTTGCATGGAGAACTTCCTCAGCACATCGACGGAACACCCAGACCTTCTAAAGACCAGTTACTGACAAAGACATGCTCGGAGACTGTTTCTCAAGTTTATCATGTAGGAGTGCTTGACCACACAACTCCTGCGTGTGTTGGGCAAGAAAATCCGCAACTTCCTCTCCCGGGAGTGCGGATGTGGGTCCCTGGACCAAGATCTGCAGCTCAGATGCCTTACACCTTGAATCTGAGGCTTTGTCCTCGACACCCCCACCCGAACCTCGACGGCCTTTTATACCCATAGAACCCGAACCCTAAACCCTAAACCCTAAACCCTCTGAAGTTTATCGCCCGTCAGAAACCTTCTGACATTGCTCCCTGGTTCAGGGCTTAATGTAGGGGCCGAAATAAGTACCCATAATATTTTTTTGGGGGTTCCTTCTTATAACTAAAGTAGAATGGGCCCCAAAACCCTATTCTATAACTATTAAGGCCCCTATATATTTAAAAGTTTAATGGGCCCCAAAAACCTATTCTGTAATTGTTAAGGCCCCTACATTAAGGTCTCGGGGCCCCGGGGCCTCTTTCACCCTAAACCCTATTCCCTAAACCCTAAACCGTAAACCCTAAACCCTAAACCCTAAACCCTAAACCGTAAACCCTGAATCCGAAACCCGAAACCCGAAACCCAAAGCGACCTTGCCTTGACAAAGCCCTGAATCCTGAAGGCCTAGTGCCCTCCGCCTCTCTGAGGTTTAGGGTTTGGGGGTTTAGGGGTTCCTTAAGGACGACATGAACCCTAAAAGGGTTAAAGGTTCATATACCATATAGGGATTCATAGTATAAGGGTATAGGGCCCCTACTTTTAAGGGTCATTTCGGCTGTAAGGCTGGGTTTAGGGTTTGAGGGTTTAGGGGTTTAGGGTTTAGTTTAGAGGTTTAGGCTTTATGGGGTTTGGGGGTTTAGGGTTTAGTTTAGGGTTTTTTTGGCTTTATAGGGCTTAGGGTTTAGGGGTTCATTCTTTAGGGTTTAGTTTAGGGGTCTAGGCTTTAGGGTTTAGTTTAGGGGTTTATGGTTTAGGGTTTAGTTTAGGGGTTGAGGGTTTAGGGCTTGAGGGTGCAAATCCCAGCATCCACGCTGGTCGCATCACCAGGGACGCCTCCTCTGGCTGCGCGGGCAACATGAGCTCCTGACAGGTTGCATCAGCCTGGCTTGACTCCGGAGACCCTAAATCCCAAGCCCCTAGGGCAGCAGCGCAGGAACGCGAAACAAAACAAACAGCTCCTGCTCTTTTGCCAGGGCAGCTTCCAGCAAGCCTCCTGCCATGTCATACCACCTGGCCAGAGATTAAGGCGACCCTAGATACCCTCAATCCAAATCAGTCAAAGTTCACAGGTCCTCGAAGGTTGGCTGGACTTATGACTTCGGGCTCGTGGCTGCCAATGGCCATTTGTCATGCAGTCGGGACGCGAGCTCAAACCTGTAGTATTTCGCCACAATTCCTCAGAGCCAGAGTATCCGCTTGTCCAGGTTTGACCTGGTGGGCTCACTGCCCGTTTAGCTCCCCGGCTGTTCCTGTAACTCCCTCTCTTCCCCTCCCGCCCCCAAAAATGAGCCAAAAGCCGAGATATGTGCGTTTTTGCGCCGAGATGTATACGTAGAACAAGCAATAAAAAGAGACTTGCATAGTTGTGTGCATCGAGAATCTGATGAACAATAATGTACGAGCCGGTGCCTGGCTGTATTTCTGAGACAATGGAGAATGCATATACACATGCAAATGCATAACTTCAAGGCGTGTGTTCAACGTTTCGACAAAAGCATATTATGCAACTACAATGTGCATAATGCACATGCGCATCCATCCATCCATCCATCCATCCATCCATCCATCCATACATACATCCATGCATGCATACATACATACATACATACATACGTACTGGCTCACTGGATTAAATTGCCTTGCATGACCCTACCTTACCTTATTACATTACATTACATTGCATTACATTACATTACATTACATTACATTACATTACATTACATGACATTACATTACATTACACCACATACACTCCATGCACACGCACGTACAAGTATATATATATATATATATCATATATACGTATGCATACCAACATACGTATACATACAGCCATGCATGTGTGTATATATATATAGGGGAGAGAGAGAGAGAGAGATTAAACCGCATGTATATATATATATAGAGAGAGAGAGAGATGTAGANNACACACACACACACGTCACAAAGGAGTGAACATGTACGTTTGCTTTTGCACCAATAGGGACTGAATGTCATGGACAACACCCGAACAGCAGTAACAACAGCAAACCTTATGAGAACCCGAGCCCCTCGAAGCACAGAACAGGTTGTTAATGTCGGCGTAAGGCCGCTATAATATGCAATCGGATTCTGTTTTTTGCGGTGAGTGTGGTGAAAAAAAACCTCGAGGGTGATCGGCTTCAGGGTTCAATGGGTATCTTGAAGGGGCCCCATACAGAAGGGTTTAGGGTTTAGGGTTTGGGGTTTAGGGTTTAGGGTTTACGTTTAGGGTTTAAGGTTTAGGGTTTA